AAAAGAGTTTGTAGGGAAAATGTTGGTAAACCAGGAACCTAACCCCTCTTTTTTGACACCCCCCCATATATTCAGGAGAGTTGATTTCATGCCTCCTCTCCTCCCAGAACCAAATGAGAAGAATAAAAATCGGTACCCACAAACGATCTTAAGTGTTTGAATGGTATAGGGGGGAGGGGGAGAAGCCAGTATTTACAGACCTGGGTCAATTCCCCGCTCTCATTAAAGCAGAGGCTGCTCTGGGCTTCCAGCGGGCCTGGGACCTGCTTTGGGGGTGGGGTATGGGGAGCTGCGAACCCTGCCTGCGTGGTATAACTTGCTGCTTGCTCATCAAAGTTCGGGGGAAGGCGGCTTTGCGGATAGAGATTTAACTGGAGAGTAGAACCGAGAAGGGGCCTAGGACGGCTTCCAGGAGGGTGGTTACAAGGTCCAGTTATGTGAAAACCCTCGTGGACTGTGCCACTGGCTGGAGCGCATCTTCAGAGGAAGAATGTCTTGCCTCTGAGAGCAGGCAAGGGCGGCAAGAGGACAGACAGGCCTCCCAGAAAGTCTTCCCGGGCCTCTGTAGAGAACCTAGACTGGGACCCATCCCCTCTTGTTCGATGGGGGCGATTGTCTTCTACGTCCAGTTCCAAACCTAGTTTGGGCCTGGGGAACCCTATCAACCACCTGGGAGGGAAGGGCGGGTCCTCTGAATTCCAGGCCCCGTCAAGATTTATTGAAGTTGGGTTTTAAAAAACGTGCTTCAGATGATTTTTTCCCATTTTCTCAGATTTCAAAGGCTCCCTGCAGCGCGGCTGCCTAATTAATGGTGAAATTCAACTAAATCTAATTATGCAGTAATTTTAAAGCAGTTAGTGCTGGGCGTTGGTTTGTAATAGGACCCTGGTTTTTTAAAGTTTGTTGACTGTATTGGTTTAGGGGAAAGCTATCTTTTGTATGGTAAAGAAAGATGGGGAAGAGTTTGCCTGCTCGGAAAGGAGGGGCTCAGGACTGTCTGCCATCCCACCCGCATCCCCAGGTCCCATTCAGTCTCCTGTCTCTCTTCTCTTGTTTTCTCTTTCATGCTCCGGCTAAAAAGCTGAGCGAAGTGCTGACCCCACAAGCAGAGCCAGTTTCCTGGTGAAACAGGAAAGGGGGAATCTTTCCTTTGGAGACACAAAGGGCCAGGCTGGTATGGGACCCTCTTGGATGCATCCGTAAAGACTTGAAAACCGGGAAGGGACTCTCAGCTCCTCTAATCCAGAACAGATTTCCTCCCCGGCAACCATTGTCATTAAGGCGCAAAGCTGACTCTTGGAGTTATAAATCTTATCGTCCTTCTGATAACACACTTGTAATAAGTTAACGTCGTATTCAACTTGAACTGTAAAACTGCCTCAGTTAATATGGCATCTGTGTCATTAAAACTCCCCTCCCCCTTGCCTGGTGACTTGCGGGTCTGGCTTTGGGGTAGCGGAGGTCCTTTACTACTGGGCCTCTGGGGTTGGGCAGATGAGAAGAAAGGTGTGAAAGATGGGCTTCTGGGATTGCCCCGCTGGATATTAGGCCAGGGTGAAAGACCTCCAGGCAAAAACGGGCTTATGGGGGTGGTGTCTCTCTCTCCAGCTCCCACCTCAGTAGCCCCTGAAAATGACATTCCTTGAAAGAAGCATGCTTGTGATTAGTTAGGCAAACACATGTGCTTTCGGAGTTGGGCCTTCGTTAATTAGCCGAACAAAGGGCCGTTTTGCTTTTTACCTTTTGCTGGGAAGATTGTGTTATTTCAGGAGTGTCGCGGGCTCTCCTCTTTTCAATTGCAGCCACGACGTTAATTTTATTGGGATTACTGATGGGAAATGAGGTGGCGCAGGCTTCCGAGAGGAAAAGCTTGATCATTACTCCCTTTGGAACTATATTTTTCCACCCAACCTCCTGCTTGTGAGGAGGGGGTGGGGGCGAACTGCACAGCAAGTTCGGAGCAATTGGAATCAGGCTCGCGGTACGTTGATCTCGGGTGACAGAGCGTGTGTTGAAGCTGAACTCTATAATTTGCGCTTCTGTTCCTTTATTAGGCCTGGACAACGAACTAATGAGCTTTGGCCCAGTACAATGTCACTTGTATTTATTTTCTTATGGCAACTTTGAGATAGCGGAAGTGCTCCTTACCAGGAGCCTGGGAGGGCCAAGAGATCGGTCTGCTGCTATCCAGGACTGGGTCGGCTGCTGTGTCCCCAGGGAGTAAGAACAAACTGAGAGCCATCCCAAGGATGTCCAAGTAGAGGCACTAAGCCATTAGGGTGAGGCCTTCAGGTCTCTCTGCATAGTGTTAGGCCCTTTAATGGCCTAGGCACCCCTTCAGGATCAGCTCTCCGAGTATGTGTGTGGGGGAAGGGGGCTAGCCCAGGATAAGTTTCCAAAGTTCCAGTTAAGAAATGGTCCAACGCTCCAATGTAGCATCGGAGTCATTTCTAGTGCTAGGCAGAGAAGAGATCCTGCTGCACAATTTGCCAGGCCCAAAAGTCCTTAAGCCAGGGGGAATACCCTGCTAGGTGATAGAAACATCTGCTTATATTGCTGAAGGCCTGGCCTAGCTCTGTAGTTATCTTGTTAGGAGGTGTGAGGCAGAGGATGCCCTAAATGGGTCCTTAGGACTCTGAAGTTCAAGAATACCCCTTCAATTCCTTCCTAGTTTAGCTGAAGAGACCTGAAACAAAGTGAAGAGAGGGGCGGAGATATCGCAAGCATCCCTTATGCTCTGCCAGAGAGAATAGGAGACCCCCATGCAGGAATTGATGGGGACACGGAAAGGGAAACCCCGAGCTGCTAGAGGAGCGGATGCTTCTCTCCACAGCCTGAGACTTCCCGTGGCTCTCTTGCCTTGCGCCTTGCCTTGTTAATAACGCCCAGGCTCGATGGCCCCCCGCCCTCCCCATCTCTCCACGCTTCATCCCTCTGCCCTACCACCCCTCCCCACCTCTTCCTTCCTTCCTGCAAATGGGTGTTAACGTGGGTCTTTATGTTCTGTCTATAACTAGGATGTAATCAGGCGCCCCATGCCTCTCTCTAAAAGCATTTAATAAATGTCTATTAAAGCGCTACAAATGTAAGATGAATTTAGTGGCGCGGCTGCCTCCCTGAATCCAAACGGTAATGATGGATTTATCAACGGGGATTCGCCTTCAGCACAGCGAGGGAGGTTTACTCAGCAAATATGTCGGCGAGCACCCACCCAAATACAATCATTTGACCCCCTGCGGGCGTTAGCCGCTGTGCCCCTTCACAAGCTAGGCCGGCAGGTCAGGGTTGTCGGGGCCAACTC